GCAGGTAATGTTGTGGTTTATAGAAAGGTTTCATCTGTCCCTGTGCAAATGGGTTTGGCTGACATTTAAGGACAGCTTCTAATATCTCTGCAGAGTGTGGGGACTAAAAATATGATATTGTGACGATGGTACTGCTGCTGAAGGTCCTCGAAAATGTTACTGTTGCTAGATGACAGAGGGTATCGGTGGTAAATGCCGGAGAAGGCTGGACCTGTTTGAATCCATGGCCAAAACTCTTCCGCCTTCGTTATTTTCACGGAGCCGGTCCAGATAGACCGGGTCCTTGGAGGATGCAGCCTCTTAAGTTGAACACACCCCAGGATTCACTCCTCATGCTAAGTCAAGTCAGGTTTCATCTCTTATCCTGGGATAAGAGATGAAATTTATATATCCTGGGATATATAAATTGCGCTTTTGTGAAATATGGCCCAGGATTAGAGATAAGGTCAGATTATGAAAGCTGATCATTCACGCATTCACCAAAGTAAAACATCACTAATTTCTGCTATATACATTCCTGCTGCTCAGCTTTTTCCCTTGGCTTATACAGAGCATGTAAACTTTCCTCTTAAAATAATCGGAATCGAGAATAGGTAGGCGCTGGAGTCAATACAAGGAATCTGAAATGAAACCTTTATCATTCATGTTAAAATGGTGCTGAACCCTTAAAGGTGTTGTGGAGGATTTTCATGAATTTTTGAAAATGACCCGCCCTCTCCACTTTAAAAGAAATACACATGCACAACCCTGTACCCGCTCCAGAGAGGGAACACCTATAAAACGCTTGCGTGAGCATGCAAGAGCCCATTTCTCCTCATGCAAGCTCTGTTTAAAAGTTGCTGTTAGCATCGCTCGTACAAGCTTACTTTCCAAAAGAAGATTTACCATTTTTCAAATATGTCAGACTCACCACCGGTAAAGTAAAAATGGTTACGGGAACGGATGACGGCCTTACGTAAACATATCATCAGAATAACTGACAATTAGAAGGACCATTTATATTGAGGATCCACCTGGAAAAAAGAACATCCTCCACTGTACCTTTAAGCCCTGAAATAACTATTTAATTTTTATTTCTGAAGGTTGAAGAGAAAAAAGTTAATCAGGAACCAAACAGCATATTGGATCTTTTAAGGAACAGCAGGATCAGGATGACAACACTTATCCTCTGCTTCGTGTTGTGAGTATCAACCTTTGTTAGTTTTGGAAAATGCCATATTGGATTAACAAATATTAGTATATGTTGGAATTTTACAATTTCTTTTTTTTTGATTTCATGATTATGTTGGAATAGCAAAGAAAACCTGTTGGAACCTTTATGTATATCTGTCATGGCATATATGTGTTTTTTTTCCTTTATAAAATAAATTAAGTATACACTGTCTCTAGCTACTCAGTTAGTCAGTTATAATTCATGAGACAGAAAAAAGTCTGAAATAGACTACATTGTTATAATTGCACATAAAATATTTTTTACATTTTATTTTTGTTGATCGAAATAACTTTCTGCTTAGAGCCAATGAAATCCTGACATTTACCTTTAGAATGTTTTATCAGAAAGATACTTGATTATACATAAATTAACACAGAAATATATGCTGATTGAAAAGTATTTTTATTTAACACATTTTTAAAGGTAATCATTGTTAAAACTTGATAAAACAAGCTTCATTGGATAAAAAATATTTTAAGATAGGATAATATAATATTAGATATGACTGTAGCACTTATATTCAGTCTTAGCCAAAAAAAAAAAGCCCTGATCAAGGGCTATTTTCAAGGTTTTCAAAAAATAACAGTGTCACTGATTTCAAATAATTTTTCTATTATAGTGTGAATTGGAATTCACACATTTAGATTATGTTGGAATGAACTCTCTTGGAGTTAATTTGTACAGAACTATTTGAATTCCGTGCTATTGGATATCATTGGGCCCTTTTTTCTGATGGGATTGAATTCCTTATGAGCTAATGGCAAGGAGGAAAAAAAAATATTAAAATCATCAAATTATAGTAAATTGTTTACTTTTTTCACAGCTTCACCATGATTACCGGCTACTATAGTTTGTCCTTTAGCACAGCTCAGCTTCACGCTAACCCCTACATCAGCTGTTTCATCTCAGCTGTAGTGGAGATCCCTGCATATATATCCAGTTGGCTTGCATTGAGGTACCTCCCAAGACGACTCTCTGTATCTGGTTCATTGATCCTTGGATCTGTGCCACTGTTCATTATACAAATGGTACCACAAGGTAGGTAAAACAACATGCTGTATTTTTAGCAAAGTCATTGTCATGGTTAAGTTGGTCTAAGAAGCTGTTTGATATGCTGTAAGAGATGTACTTAGTAACTATACCTAATTATAAACATTATAGAAACTTATATGAATACTAATATGATAGTAAAGTAAAAAAAATCTTGCTGTAATTTTTGATCAGTACTTCTCATTTAAATCCCATATCAAAGAGGTCTCTAGAATTTAGTTCTTTCATTGCAAAATATTGCAAAAATGCTACCATGCATTTGTTGTTAAGTCTGGACTATTGTAATTCTTTACTACCAGGAAGTCCACAACTTTAATTAAAAGCCTTCAGCTGATCCAAAATGCTGCAGCCAGAGTTCTGATGAAAATTAAAAGGAGAGATCATATCTCTCATATCCTGGCTTCTCTTCATCGGCTTCCTGTTAAATCTAGAATATAATTTACAATTCTCCTTCTCACATATAAAGCCTTAAATGGCCAAGCTCCATCTTGTATTAGATATTTGACTGTTCCACATGTTCATAAAAGAGCACTTAGCTTTCAATTTGTGAGTTTACTAGTGGTTCCTAGAATTTCTAATAGTAGAATGTGAGGCAGATCTTTTAGTTATCAGGCTCCTTTCCTGTGGAACCAACGACCAGTTTTACTCCGTTATGCACACACCCTGTCTACTTTGAAGGATTGGCCTAAAACTTTACCTTTTGATAAAGCTTATAGTTAGAGTGGCTCAGGTTATCCTGAGCTATCTCTATAGCTATGCTGTTATAGGCCATCCTGGAGAAAGGCGTCAGCTGTGCTGCTGCCATCAACACCTTTTGTTTATAGATGTTGGAGCTTGGCCTGTTTTCTGTGTAGTCCTCTTTCTCTGACTGTGACTAACTATATGTGCTCTCTTTCACCCTCTGACATGGGAGCTGGCTCTTCTGCCTGGCTTTGTGTTTCCTGGACAGCACCGCCTGATTGACAGTTGCCTTGTGTATCTCTGCCTCTTTTTCTATGTCTGCTTCTGTCTCTTTGAACCCGTCAACCTCGGCAGATGGCTGCTTACACTGGGCCTGGTTCTGCTGGAGGTTTCTTCCTGTTAAAAGGGAGTGTTTCCTCTCCACTGTCACTACAAGCATGCTTAGTGTGAGGGACTGCCTTCAGTCAATTAGGCGATGTAATCAACTGGTTCTCCTAAGCTATAGAAAACTTTGAATAATTGACTGTATAATCTGGTTGATATGTCTCTGTAAAGTGTATTAATTGGTGTAAATAGCTCTATATAATTAAATGGAATTGAATTGAAATTGAATTATATTTGGCCTTATTGTTTTGTTTCAAAAACGTGATATTTCCATTTTACAGATCTGTCAGGTTTGTCTCTTGCACTGGAGATGGTGGGGAAGTATGCTTTCACCACCGGGGCCTCCCTTATGTTTGCCTACACCACTGAGCTTTACCCAACATCCCTGAGGAACACAGCAGCAGGGACTACCTTCACTGCGTCAAGGACAGGGAGCTGTGTCACTCCTTTCCTGTTAAGTCTTGGTGAGCAAATGAGATGTTATAGCCTTACCCTTTCTTAACCACCTAAATTGTGAGACTGTTAAAGCTCATTCTTATTTCTGATGAATCTCCCTTATTCTTTTTAGGTTCATATCTACAGTGCTTGCCTTATATTATAATTGGGGTTCTGGGTGTAGCGAGTGCTTTTGTAGCTTTATTGCTTCCAGAGAGCTTTAGGCAACCACTGCCTGAATCCATTCATCAAATGCATGAAACAAAAAGGTATGTATTATTGTAAGGTTTCCCATTAAACAAACTATTATATCGCTAAGAGATTGAATAACTAATACTATCATTAAAGAAACCCTTAAGAATCTGATCAACTCATTTTGGTTTTCGGTGTACCTTGCTGAATTGCACCTTATAAATAGAGTCTACTGTTTTCTTCTATATTAATGTTGTAATAATAGCACTGTTATTAGGTCATTGTCCATTCCAAATATCAATTTACACAGTCTTTAATTTACTGGCTGATGTTGTGGGACTATGAATAAAAAAGTAAATTATTTGCTATATCCAGCAGATTTACTGGTTTATTCGATTACGCCAATTACTTCTTTGCAGTGACAAGTTGCTCCGGCAATAAAAACATACATTTACTGTGAAGTCTGTACTTCACAACTGGGATAGTAATGTCTGGCTTGCCAGCTTTGTTTAAAAAAAAATACCATTTGTAGTTTTGTGCTCATATATATTTGTGTATGTTTGTACCATAGGAATGAATTCAGCATGTGCTAATGTTTTCCTCTTTACCACAGGATGACGTGTCCCTGCATCAACAGAACTAAAAGAACAGCACTGATGGATTTACCTGACAGTCCTCTGTGACAGTCTGCTATGTTAGTATTTCTAGTTAGGTTTGAAGATTCTACTAAATAAAATTAACCCCAAATTACCATTTACAATACATGTTCCTAAATAGTGAATTGCTGTTTGTTCTTACTGAGTTTATCTCAAACAGACAATTGGTAATATTTACTGTCAGCCAAAAAAACATGAACACATGTTTTGTTTAATCGCAAGCCATAATACTTGATTTTAATATTTGGAGGACAATATATAATTTTAAAAATTCTATATTAGAGTATTAGAGTAAGGAAAAAAACGTAAATATTGTAATAATGATTAAAAATTCATTGTTTATTGGAGAATAGCTAAAATCATGTTACAATCACTGCTTAAAAGGTATCTTTAAAAAGCAGAAGTGAAAACAGTTTCACTTATTTAGGGATTATTTTGCCTCTTTGAAGTTTCTGTTCTATAGAAATGTTCCTAGAATTTAAACTCTGATATAATGTTGTTAGTTTTGGGTGAAGCTTGGTCCGGACAGGGACTTTTGCTCATCAGCATTTTTCTCTTCTTTGTTGTTGCTGAGGTTGAAAGGTTTTTTCTGACAGCACCTAGAAAGGAAAAGATGCATAGATTAATGAGTGATGAAAGAGAGAAGGCTGATGTGGCATATGTCTCATATGTCTTGAACCACATAAATTAATAAAAAAAAAAAAAAAACTGCTCTCTCACCCACCCCTCTTATTCCTGGGTGGAGTGGATGGCTCCCTCATTTCAAGCTTGTGTCCTCTACCAGTGCCCTGGGAGCTTCAGGGTTATTTTTAGAATCTTAGCTGTACCTAGAACTGCAAGTTTCTGCACTGAGATGTCTGATGTTTCTCCAGGTATCTATTGGAGCCCACCAGTTGGCTCCAACAGATACCTGTTGGCTCCAGTGTGGGTGTTACTGCCCCCGGTGCTCAAATGACCAAAAAAAAACTACAGTTGTCTTCACCTTCCAGGCTCTTTCTAGTTCTTCCCTTAGTATTTGTCCAATTTCACATTTTCTGTGTTCCTGATTTTTCTGTCATTTGGTATGGCCACATCAATCACTACGACTGTCCTCTTCTGTTATGATTGATGTAATCGTCAATTATTACAATATCCGGTTGATTGGTAACAACTACTTTGGTTGTTTGTATCTGAAAGTCCCACAGGAACGTAGCTCTATCATTCTGGCTACCATTTTTACCAGCTTGCTAAAGGGCTGGTTGGATGAAGATATTTACAAATATTCCCAATTTGATCTGAGAAACTCAGAAATACTCATTTAACAATGGAAGCAGTTTTCTCCCCAGAGTCTTTTTTTCTGAGTGGTTCCCGTATCTTCTGGACGATAAGATGCTACTTTTTTCCAATTCTTTGAACCATATGGCTTATACAAAGGGGTCAAAGTCAAAACTGGAAATCAAAGATGAAGGGACTAATTTTCATTTAGCACAATCACATGTTATGAACAAGCAGGGCGGAGAACAAATGTCCTAAATTCACACATTTTGACATTTATTTGCCGCTTTAAAGATGTCGAACAATTCAAGAGACTGTGCACAACTCCTGCAGAGCTTCTGCAGAAACTCTGCCACAACCAACAACCTAAATAATGAAAAAAAAAAAGGTCACCAGGCACTAAAAGTTTGGTTTTTGATTGTACCTTAAGGGGTTAAAGAGCTACAATCTTATACAATAGAGGCAACAAACACAGTTTTTTTTTAGATAAATAAAATAAAAATGCGATTAAAAAAAAACTAATAAATGGATTGAGCAACTATAGTGGATGTTATATCTGTTGACATTATTTCAATACACCAAAATGTATCCAAAGGTATAACATAAAAAGAACAAGAACTGGATTTTTTTATAAAAAAAAATTTGTACAGATAATTGAAATATTATATACTACATTACATTATGATATAGTTTAAAGTAAAACATAAGTGGAAAATAGATACTAACAGGTACTAAGGCTGATTGAACAACCTGCACAGCAACTCAAATGCAGGCTATCCACTTTGATGGGTGAGGGTGAAATAATAATTCCATGGTAGTTTACTACAAGACTCTAAAATACTTAAGTTTAACATATTGTAAACCTATCACTTAATGTATCAATTAACAACTGACAAACTTTTTTTTGTTCTCAATTTAAGACTTTAATAGAATTTCTATTTAATAGAGGGGTAACCCACTCCAGTCTTTAAGAGGTACTGCACTGCAACTATTTCATACAGTACATCCCTACTCCTATAATACTACAACATCAAGTAGGAAAGCCTATATTACTACATACATGAGGAGAGCAAGCAAAATCCGTACAGAAGCACAATTTCTATTGAACTGAGGCACTAGCATTTCTTACCAGCACTATACTTCAAAGTGTTTACAAAGTGTCTTATATTGGGGTAGTTTTTGGCAACGCTTAGAAAAAAGTTCTCCTGTAAATGTTTATAAAGAAACAGGTCATCCATGTATAATACAGTCTTGAAATCCTTACATTGTGCTTTTATGTGTGTGTGATCATTAACTTTTTTCTCGAGTTGGTTTATATCGGAAACATTATTAAAACAAATTTGGGTGAAATGACATTGGTTTGGTGTTTTATTTAAACCAAGAACTATAAAAACCTACTCTAGTACAAACCCAAGGCCAGTCAGTCTGAAAACGGAAGAAGGAGGTAGTTTTCATTTACCCGGGAAAGCTTTGCATGTGGTCAATGGTGTCTGGCAGAGGCATTCCAAAGCTCTCAGGGAGAAGGAGACTAAGAAGTCCTGTCAAAGCTGTAAGACTTCCCATAAGGATGTAAGGCAGGGAAACAGAATATGTTCCTGTAATGAGACATCAAAAGAGAAATTATGTGAAGGAAAATGAATTCAGTCAGTCAAAACATATTAGAGCAGCTAAAAACAAATAACAAACAAAATATCTGGAAAAAAATGAAGTTGGGTAACATGTCATTGTAATTTTTCCCACCCATTAGAGTATGTAACATTAAAGTAGATTACATTGATATCTATGTCCTAAACCTAACTCCTAGCCCAAGAACAGCATAAAAAAACAATCCCACGTTACTGCTGAGAAACAATACAACATTGGTTCTCTCTCTTTGCAGCAGATGCAAAAGTATAGACACACATCCCTACTCAGACATTTAATAAGACACATCCATTCTGTCAATTACACAGAGCATCAGCCCATTTCATAGACTTGACAGTCAATTAATTACATGTTACATTTCTATGTAAATATGTTTTTTCTTCTCATAGTATTTTAACATTTTTAAAAGTTTTTTTTTCCTGCAAATTACTGTGGTGCAAAAAGTTTTTAGTCAGCCAAAGATTGTGAAAGTTTTTCTAGAAAGAAGAGTTATGTAATGTTCATGATAGGTCCACATAAACTATGAGAGACATAAGCGAAATACCAGTGTAGGATTTTTATATTTTTGTTTTGTTATGGTGGAAAATTTGTTTTAGTCACCTACAAAAAAGTAAGATGTCTTGCCATCACAGACCTGTAACATCTCGTGTCCTCCACTTGTCCCCTGGGTTAAAGGCTGTCTGAACTTATTGTTTGTTTACCATATAAACTGGAGAAGCGGCGCAAGTGAAGTTTGACACTGTCGTTGCACAACATGCAATAATTTATAAGTGTTTTAAATCAGGTTGGGTCCGGATATGCCAGCTGGTCGGTCAGGATCTGGACCCCGTTCCGCTAATCCATGACCTCTGGTTTAAAAGATGTCTGCTCAGTATATCAGTACCTGAAATGTTTCAGAGTACATAACCAGACAGCCAGTAGGATTGTGGAGGGTGTGATTAATAAATAGATTACATCCTGGTTTAGGGAGAAAGCAGAGAGCAGGCTAATTGCAGAACAGAAAACACTCTCCACAAAAGAGTTATAAAAGATCTGAAAACATCTGCAGCATCTTGCTGCAAATGCTGAAGGGCCTAGGCTTCCTTAGAAAGTAAAGTTGGCTCCTTCCCTTCTTGTAGATGGCTACAAAAGTTTTTTGTTCACCTGAACATCAAGGTATTTTGACTACTCCACCAAATAAACTACTTCTCCCATGATGTCAATAGCATTGTTCCTGTTTGTTATTAAATCTTGCATACTGTCCCTTATTTTGTTGACATTTAGGATCAGATGATTGTTTCCACATCATGCCACAAAGCGGTTCCCAAGGTCCTTGTTCTCATCTTCTTGTCCTTTAAAGCAATCAGTGACTACAGACTCATCAACATATATCTGCAGATGACAGGACTCTGTCTTGAACTAGAAGTCAGTTATAAAGACTAAAAAGAAATGCTGAGAGTACTGTCCCCTGTAATGCCCTTCTGCTGCTAACTACTTGTTTAACCAGTTGTGTTTTCTTCTTACAAACTGTAGTCTTTTTTCAGTATGGTACTCTTTAATCTAATTGTTGATGCTTTCACCTCAGTCTTTTGCAGTTTCTCAAATTCAGGCTGAGTCATGTTGAATACGATGCAGAAATTTTAAGAACATGAGCCTCACAGAGCTTTCTGCCTTGTCTAAATGATGGTGGTTATGCTGAAGCAGGTCTATGATGGGATCTTCAACTCAAACTCAGTGTTGATAAGCAAAACAGGCTCCTTATAGCTGATTGTTTGCTTGCTCAGATGAACCAACAGAAGTGTTTTTAGGACATTCATGAAATGGAATGTTGGCGCAAAAAATTAGTTTTGTCCAGATTTCTATCTGTCTGATCATCCTTCTGCTTAAAGCCTGTGATGTTATTCATCCCTGACCATGCATCACTGATGTTGTTTTGCTGGAGCTTGCTTTCCAGTCTTTTCCTGTATACCTCCTTGTTTTCTCAAAGTGGCTTCTGAATGCTACTCAATAATTCTGTCTATCACCCTTTTCTTAAATATTTAATTAAATGGCTTTATTTAAATCCTGAGTGTAAGATTCTAAATTTGTTATGCCTAGATTAAACCCAACCTTGCAGTTGGGTTTAATCCTTTGATCACCTTAGAAAACCTCCAGCTCCCAACTCCAGTCCTCCCTGGCAGAAACACCCTGCTTATTCAGTAAGCTCCTGTCTGAGTTCCATTCCCAGCTTAAGTCTGAACCATCCGCTAACCTCTCCGTTTCTCTGCCTCCAGTGCAAGGATGATCCAGCTCAAGTGGCTCCTCCATAACAATATCCATTCCTTCTCTGTTGTTTGCTATCAGTTTCAAGGGGAAAATAAAACCTTTTGATCTGAATACATCCTTTTCCTTGGCTGTTCTCTGCATGTGGGTCAAACACCTTGCTTCTAACATGACACTTTGCTTTGTGGTGTCTTCTTTTGAAGGTTTGTTTAACATTACCATTGTAACTAAAGTGTACTACAGCTGTATTTGGGTTCACAAATATGAAAACCAGTCCGTTGTGCAAAAACCTGTGGGTGGCAACTGCTCTACATATAGGACATTATATAGTTTGCTTTAAGGAATAACTTTCTTTTTACCAGTCTTCCACACTTTAGATTGGATTGCAATCCTAGCAACAGATCCAACAGTTATACTTTAGTTGTTCATCTTTGTGTTTTTTCTATTACATAAAATAAACATGGGATTATTGTTAGAGCCCGAATAATAAAAAGGCAAGGTTCAATGTATAAACATAATTTTCAAGGGCATCTTAGCTCATACATTTTTGTAAGACTTATGGAATATGATGGTACTCACGTAAGTATATAAAGTACGGAGCTATAATGCTGCCTATTCTGGAGGCTGTTGAGCAGGCGCCAACAGCTGTGTTCCTCAGCACAGTTGGGTACAGCTCTGCTGTGTAAGCATAAACAACAGCAAATGCGGTTGTCACTGCAAATTTTCCCATCATCTCAAATGTTATGGAGAGGACTGCCAAGTCTGGAAGAAATATAAAGATAAAATTGAACAAGATTATATGCAGAAGTTTTTGTATACAAGAGTTGAAGAAATTGTTCAAGTTCTGGTGTCGTACGTGTTGGTATTAGTTGTATGATCAATATGAACAATCCCCCTGTAAAAAGCGACAAGGAAAGACTGAGCCGCCGGGAACACCAGCGAAACATAACCCACGACAAACAGTAGGCTGGAATCTCTACCACAGCGGACAGGAAACAGTTTAAGAAAGGATTTCCATGGAGGTTCGTCGTGTTCAGGGAAAGAGCATAGTAGGAGATGTTGATGGTGTTCCTGTTGCAAACATATATGAAGCACACAAAGGTATTTGGCATGAGTATTTATTTAATTATCAACTTCTAAGTTAAAACAAACAAAATAAAGTATATTTTAAATATTTGTTTCTACACGGCAACTATATGGGGCATGTGTACAATCTGTTTACTCCATGACCCTGTTCAATGCTGGGGGACAAATCGATTAGAGAACAGAGGGAAGGTGAGACGGCATTCCAGAGCTCAGACGGGAGCAGTGGGAAATTAGTGCAAAAGCACTGGCTGAGAGAGCACCAGAACGGGCATGAGGCGGTCAGCCATGCCCCCCTGTGGAGCTAAGGTATTAAAGTGGTGCATAATGGAGCAGCCCCCCAGGCAGACAGGGAGAGAGAAGGCAGTAGCTAGTATTAGAGGCTAACTGTGAAGGATCACAGAAGCACAGCAGTCGATTGGAGAAACAAGCCAGGTCAACAGAGTGCTGAAGTTGGGGGAGACGGCTGGCTGGAGCTAGCGTCTTCAAGCTAATTGTGTGAGATGAAACGAGAACAGCGGAGGATTGGAGAAGCCTGAGAGGAGGGAGGAGGGCGGCTGCTGTCAGGTGTCGGAACAGTCCTGCTAGGGCTAAATCAAAGCAGCTTTTTTTAAAGCCACTCACATAACTCTTAACAGCAGACTTTACTTCGTCCTTTATCAACATTATTTTCTCTATCTTCCATTTTAATTTAAAAAAGCTTGTATTCACTGCCTCCGTCACCATAGCTCACAACCAAATATAGTCCCTGAAAGATTTTTGCGATGTAAATCTAAAAAAAGTTCAGACTTCTTTAGCTCCTGCAAACTTCATTTGTCGTATTTGCAGAAGCGATGTGACTTCACCAAAATCGTGCTATTCGCCACACCAAATACGTCGCCTTCCCCTCGCTCCACCAGTTTTAGATCATTGAGTTCATCTCATAAAATGGGAGCAAAACTAAAAGTGCTGCGTTTATATTTTTGCTGAGTGTATGTTTTTCTCTGATCAAAGTGTTGTTGGTTCTGTGTGCATAGTTGCTAAGGAAAACACCAGAAGACTAACCAGATGAACCACATTGTGAGAGAAAGCCATCGGATGTTTGGAGAATGAAGAAGGTCACAAATGTTGTGGGTCTTTGCCTCTCCAGTCTTTGCTACATTCTGTAAGAGAGAAGATGATAAAAGGGCTTGGTGACTATTGTTACCTGTACTCATTGCATCAGTCCAAATTCAATTATTGAGGTATGAATCTTACTGCTGAACATGAATGCAAAACATGGCCAAATTTTTTTACACAGCAAGACAAACAAGACAAAATCCTTTTTTCATTCTACTTTTTTTTTAATAATACTTGTGCCTATTTTAAAAATGAAAAAAGCTTTTTTTTAAAGTATTTTTAACCTTAAAGAGGGTGGTGTAATTGTTAGGACTCCTGTCTGTGGTTTGTGTTTTGTGTGTTTGTCTTCCTTCCTCCACCAGGCGGCGCCTGGCCTGATTCACCTCCTCACACACCTGCAAAGGGTATTCTCATTAACGGAGTGCTCTTAAGCTGCTGACTGCCACTACCTCGACGCCAGAGTGTTTTCCAGTTTTGGGTACTCTAGCCAAGCTGAGTTTTGCTGAGTCAAACTGAGTTTTTGTCAACCTGTGTTTTAATCTTGCTATTTTTGTCTTTGCCTCTCGGCAGGAAGTCATCCTGCAAACTGGACGTTTCAGACCTTCTCTCCCTGGAAGGATCAACTGAGCCTCAAACTGAGCTGGGGATTCAAACAGGAGGTTTGGATCAACTTTCCTCCAAGGGATTGTTTGAGGTTCACACTGAGCAAGAGATTCATCTGCACCACAGTCCGTTCAAGTACTGCAGGAAATCTGAGTGGCAGTCAGTTTCTCCGTTCTCCTACAAACAACTGCATTCTGGGTATACCCTGTCCGCCCTCCAACAAAAAAGACAAACACTGGAACACCCCACACCGACTGGAGTCAACCACTTTTCTGGAAACTTCCGTGTGAGCAGTGTTCCGTGTGAGCAGTGTTCAGGGCAACACTGGAATCTCCACAAGCTTCTCAATAAACCTGTTAAACTGTATTGGTTTCTCTGCATGTGGGTCCGAGCTCTTGATAAAATCATGACAGTAATACCTTTATAAGAACAAAACATCCTTTCACTCAATTAGCTCTAGTTAAAGCTGTCTTTTGATTTTAAAGATCAACAGACTGTAATTTGCACATATTCTTCTAAACTATAAAGCTCAGCAGATTGGATGTGCAATGTTCAAACATTTAATCAAAGTCCTTGTTCCTGCATTTCTGGAAGTATTTTTCGGGTTGTTACATTTTTTAAAGACTTCTAGGATTGACTTGTATTCTGCTCCCTCTCTCTTTCAATAAACTCTTTATTGGCCTTTGTCCATATTGATAAAAGCTCCCCATTATGCTGGGGAATGAAACATAGATAGATGAATACATAGATAATTTAAGCTCAGTTTTTGTTTATATTACTGCACTGTAAATAGATTATTATGGGTAATACCCACTTGGATGCATACATGACTAAGTGTTCTCACCATTAGAGGTCCAAAGATGACGGCTGGTGGTTCAATCTTATTTATCTTGGCAGCTTTTCGAATTATGAGTTCGGCTTCTTCTATTTTACCCCGCGAAAGAAGCCATCGAGGGGACTCTGTAATAAACCTACCTCATTTAGCAATATTGTGAGAGAGAGGGAGAAAGATGGAGAAGGAAGCCATCAGCAATGATGTAAAACTATTTTCAGAATAGACAAAAATGTTTCAGTGCCTTCCTGCTTATTATTAGAAGTATTGTAAAGAAAAAGGCACTATTTAAAGTATCTTCACAACACCAGGTCTTCAAAGATTGACAAAAAAGGCCATTAAAATGAATGTACAATATTTGTGGGTATGTGAAATAAGTGGGCATGTGATCTACAGTGATTAGTGGCAAATGTTAAGACATGCAACCTGACATTGTTCAATCCCCCTAAAATAAACATATTGCATGTTATAAAGGCATTTGAGAGTTGTGTTGAGAGAAAAATATCAGCTATAATCCTAAATAATATTTATATACCAATTTACATAAGTAACTAATCTCCAAGTGCTACAAAAAAAGTAAAAAAAGAAAAAACAGAAACAATGTTACAGATTGTTACAACTGTTACAGAAACAATGGACATCATGCAAGCAGCGTTTGCACAAATACATTTTTTTCTTAAATCGTTCATATGAATAACTTAGGAGAAAATGTCGCTTTCACCATTTTTGTTCAATTTCTTATGTTCTCTCAGGTACAAACACATTTTAGTGTTCTGGAATTGACATAGGAGACATGCGCAATCTATCAGCTGTTATCCAAACCTAGTTTTTCAATAAATTATTAAATTTGTTTTACTTAATAGCAATTGTCCATTTCATTGGGCTACATCAATATATATTATGTAACTCTACAAATATATATTATATATTTTTTAATTTATAAAAAAAAATGTATATATATATTATATTTCTATTTAGTGATGATTTATAGAACAGCATCAACAAAAATAGATCTTTTAAGTTGATATTCTGAGCTCTGTAAGCGCTCCGTTGAAAGCTGCTGCTGCTGCGGTGGATGCTGGGACAGCTGTCAATCTCAAGAATGGACAAGTCTGCTCTTACGCACAATGGGTAAAGAGGGAGGGGCAAGAACAACATACGGGGACTTTGTCCGTTCTAAGTCTTTTGTTCCTTTGAATTGGAAAAGTACTAAGGCTGAGGCTGATGATGTTTCACTAGTACATGAGTGCTTGAGAATGCACAAGTACAGATATTGAGAAACAGCCATTGTTTCAATATGTAAAGTACAGGTGTGTGTGTGTATTAAAAGAAAATTTAAAGAAACTTTGCCAGGTTAGTTGATCGAGAACTAATGTTATAAGCATTTACATCATATGCTGCATCTTCTGCCTCCATCAGTAGTTTCCATTGATCAAATGGTTTTTATTTTTATTATTTTCATTTTTTTATTCTGTTTTTATTCCCGTTGTGCAGTGCAACCACACAGTTTACAGCTTTTGTGATTTATTTCACTATTTGGCTTTTATTGTTTAGCTTGACAGGCTTTTACCACCTTTCAGTCAGCAAAACTGTGAGTTCTGAACTACTAAAGTCTATCTTCTTTGACTTCAATGCCATTTCTGTGAATGACCATGTGCTCACTTACACAAAGGTGGAATAAATCAAGTTTACAGGGATCATCAATGTTTGACTGAAGTTAATACTGTTTGTTGAATCTCATGTAGCCCATTCGTAAGAGCCCACAGTAGGAGAAAAAGCGAGAAGAGAAATTCACGACAAATGTTAATTAAAAAAATATTCCATGAAAGAAGAAGCAACCCGAAAAACATACACACCTACCTACCAAAAGAGAGGCAAACGAATGCAGCCCGTCAACATAAAAATGACTTGAAGTGACCTCCAGCCCCTCAACAAGAATGCCAGCAGGGGTATGAGCATGTAGCCCAAAGCAAAGAACAGACACACTCCAGCAGTGGAAAATAATGTTCTGACCCGTGGACCTAAAAGTTCAGCTCCTGAATATGAAATTTGAAACTTGTTAAATTTGCATGTACTTTCAGATGGAGAACAATAGATAGGACTTAATGCAGCAAACATACCTAGAACAAATGCAACCAGATAGTTGGAAATTATTTCTAATCCGAGAAAAAAATATAAGATGACAAACATGATCCAGCTTGAAGAGAATATCTGAATCAGTGTTGTAACAACTTGCAATGCTGTGGTGGCAAACATTATTGTTTTTCTCCCGAACCTGAAATTAAGACAAAGCAAAGAGTCAGTAAACATTTTGGCCAAATAGTAACATATGTTATAAAGTTACATTTTTATGTCTGGAGTTTAAAAAGAACAGTAATCCTCCACCAGATGCTACTTTTTTATGTAGTAGAGAACATTCAGATCTACCTACTGGTTCTTGGAACAAACTGATAAAAAAAAAAAGAAACTATGAAAAAAGTTACATTATTCAAACATCTGTTCTGAGATCACTAAGGAAACAAGCTTTTGTCTTGGATAGGTTCTAAATAGTAGATATACGTGGCTACGGAGCTTCTTTTATAGGGGAGACTTATCAAAAAGTATATGATGATACATGATTTTAGGTTTTCATGTTCACTATTGAACGTAAAGATTAAACACTTTTTCCCTGTTACAAGGTTCTGATATCCCAATACACCTGAATTAACCACTATTATGGTCATTCTAAAAAGAGTTTATTTTCATTTAACTCATATTTTGAGCTAAAAATTATAAAGTGCCAAATTAAGCAATAAATATGATGGTTCATAAAAACAGATAAAAAAAATCATTAACCATGGAAGGGGGAAATCTAAACACAATATGCTGTCATTATATTAAGAATTATAATTTATATCATGGCGGGAACCATTAGATTATTCAATTTATCATTGTAGAATGCCAAATCAATTCAAACATTTATGTGGTTAACCTGACAAGTAAATCCAACTTAGACCAAACATTTTTAGTACCGCAGCAGTAGCCCCGCCCACTGATTTTGAAATAGAAAGCCTACAAGTTGAATAGATCATGAAATATTTATGGATTTGACTGTGAAACTAATGTATAATTCTATTTAATTATACAGATCAAAATTATAGGATTTACTTTGACACATTAAAGAAAATTTATTTAAGGATTTTCTCTTTCATACATTTTTTTCTTCATGAAAATCCTCTGTATAAGGTTTTTTGAATGTACATAAAAAACATAAAGTTATTCTTGGGTTAAAATAAAAAAAATTACAGTGTACCCTACCCGTCTATGTAAGTTCATTTAATTGTAATTTAAAAAATTGCAACCTGTCAGAGAGCTGTCCCGAAAAGAAGGATCCTGTAAGAAGACCACCGAAAAACGCTGAAGAAGTAAATGGCTTCTTCCAGCCTTCATCACACACCAGGTTCCACTGTCAAAAAATAAATGCACAAAGAAAATTTATTTCATGTTGTAGGTGAAGAGGTAAAACAATAAAAAGTAACATGATCAAGTCAATCCTCAAGCCAAGTTTTTTGTCTTTTGAAAGAAAAGCAATATTGAGATTGGTCAATCTTTTTGAACCATCTTGGCACTTATACTGAACTGCAAATTATAATAAAATATAAAGGATTATATTATGGCTTTTAAATTTGATACATCCCTCACTCCAAATTTGAGCATTACAGATTTAACAAATATATATGCCGATAACTTCTCTCACATATCCACACCTCAGTCACAATAGTAGATGTATAAACGCTTTGGTCAAACTCCCATCCATCCAAGCAGCCTTCTTTCGGCACATTAGAAAGATTAACATCCACTCCAGGTAGAAGGCCTGTCTCTGAGTGACTCAGTATATCCTCCAGTTTGTATCTGGAGCACTTGCTGGGCACCAAAGCACCACTGAGGCTTGGGTCTTCCTCCAGCGGGATGCTGCTGTTTCTCCATGCAGCACTAAGGTTCAGATGTGCAGGCACCAGGCAGCGGTGGGCTGGCGTGTCGGCCACAAAAACGATAGAGAAGGTAATGAGTCCATTGGGAACCACACATAGGCAGAGAAGGAAAAAGACCCGCTGCTGGAAAGGTCCCCATTGTCCGAGAAAGGAAGTTGCTGCTTCGTAATCAGTTACTTTGTTGGGTGGACGATCTGGGAGCATGATTACTGACAGAAAACGGGAGTGAATGAGCTCAGATTGGGGTTTTCTAAAGCTTTTTAGCTTCATCTACAATCCGTCCCACCCTCCTCTTTGGTTTTGGGAGTGGAAAGTTGCTTCTTTCTGAAAAAAAGGAAGAAAAATGTTATGCTTTGTAGGCCAAACCCTAATCTAACTCTGAAAATTTGATACTTATTAACTGCCCTTGCAGAAAAGAGTTGTTATGAGCCTGAGTTACATCATCATAAAAATTCTAACAACATTAATGTGATGGTGAAGATCTTTTTTTAAGCTTATTCATTGGTACTCTGCATGCAGAATATTGCATTTTTTAAGGGGAAGAAATATTTTAATGTTTGAAGTTCGGTTAAACTTTTATCTGTAACTTATTCATTTCTTAACCTTAGTTTCAAGCACAATATCAGTATTCTCTGGCTGCCCTTTTCTCTCCTCTATAGCTGCTCACACTGAACATGGTTCAGCTTCTTCCTTTTAAACCTTCCACTGCTCTGCTTGCTGAGACATTTTTCTTTTATGCTCTCTAACTAACAAATTTTTATGTCTTACCCAAAATTATGGACAAGTTTGGACTAAAACTACTATATGTCAATGATTCCCAAGGAATATTATTACTTGAATCTCTTATTAAAATATTTTGATGTTTTTTTTCATCAAACCCAAAAGACGGATAAGTCAATTCCAGCTAAATAGCACAAGATGCAATCCGTCACCAAACATACTTTCACAGAAATGTAATATTCTGAAGATGAGACTCTATGGGCTTGTAGTGAATGCTGATGTTGATATGGGATACAGCAGTAATTCAACTGTGCTTGTTGAAGCGTTGTTTGTGCCATTTTTTTTTTTGTTTGCTTTATTTATTTGGGAAAACAGTCATTTGATTTGCATTTATCTGACTGGCTTGTTTTGTTTTATTGACTAAATACTGAGTGAAATAACATTAGAACATTTTTTTTAAAAGTACTGTATACAGCATATTCAGAACAAGTATAACAGTTGTACAGTTTAATCATTATTCAACAACCAATAAAAAAAATCAGTAAGGATTTATATTTATCGCCAGAGCTTTGCTTTTAGCGATGGGGAACAGTCTGTTCTCCCCTCAAACACAAGTGGTGACTGAGCTAAAAGTTGTCAGGCAACAAAACAGATATGATACTTACCTGAAGAGACATATTTTGGTTCTTTAATGTAGAATTGAATCTAAAGGGGTGATGTGGTCTTACCTTTACAAGTAACTCTATGACTTCTTAATCTGCTGGGTGAAAGTTTGTCTGTTGTTAAATTACAAAATACCAAGGGAGATTGTTTACTTTTGCTGCAGTGCATATTTGCCAGTTGTATCAGGAGTGCAAAACCTGTCAGTTACAAGACTTCTGCTTCCCGTGGCGAAAAGTTCAACAAAGTTGCTTTATTTACCTCCTCCAAGGAGGTTATCTTTTTAGGAGAGTTTGTGTGTTTGTCTGTCCGTAAACGGGATAACCTGAAAAGTTCTGAATGGATTTTAATGGCATTTTTATCAGAAGTGTTTCTCATGCCAAGGGACAATTCATTACATTTTGTTAATGATCCAGATCATAAGCTACATACAGTAATATTTTAAAAGATTCTCTAACGTTGTGAGATAGGGATATTTGGCAGAACAAGCAGTTCCCCCATAAACCAAAAGGTGGCAGTACTGAGTATTGGTAGTCTCAGCATTGGACTGAAAAAGGCCGGAGGTGTTTTACTGAAGAAGAAATAGTTTTTTGTGTGTGTGTGTGTGGCAAACATAATCCTAGAAGTCATTCTGTACTAAGGGTACTCACCATTTATTGCTCCTGTAACTTTCTTAATGGGATTGACTAAGTTCAGTTCTGTGATAAATAAATTATTGTTAAAAAAATAAGTAACACCAATTTCTAAAGTTTAAAGAAGCTCCATATAAAGAAGCACAAAAACACACTTTTTTGCAGCTTGTCCCTTGATTATTGAGACATACTGTAAAAAGTCTTAAAGAAATGTATACAGTAAGGTTAAAAAATATAAGTTCTCCTCTTAAATAATTTGGACGGAAAGATTTCAACCACCAAACTTGACTTGGATTATGAGAAGAAAAAAAAAAATTATTTATCTTAGCTTATATTTAAATTTCTCTTTCACATTTCCACCTATTTCCATATCTCTGCTAATGGTACGCCATCAATAAACCTGAAAACATGATGATGACTAAAGGATGAGGAGAAGCAGTTGCAAGTTACAGGGTTCAAGGTCAGATGTTTTACTGCTTACCTTTTAAAAGAAGAAAACATTAACTAAAACTACCAGTTCTCCATGGAGTTTGCATTAGTAGACCTGCAAGTAAATGTTTACCAGTACATACAGTTTCCTGTATGTCTCCATCCAGGTTTTTTACATTAGCTCTAAAGTGTGATTTAAAGCAGTATACTTGATATACAAATCTGATTTTGATTAAATGTTTATTGCCTATTTAAATAGAGAAGCCAAGAGAGTTACTCGGCAGCGCGTCAGGTTCAAACCGGTTTTCCAACTAAAAAGGCCAAGCAGCTGTTCTGAAATAAAAGAAATCATGATCTATCCCTGAACAGAATATGCAGTTGAGAGTTGGGTCTGTGGTTACGTCTGTCTTAGTCAAGGCTGCTAAAATAGATCAGAATAATTGCGGCATTAGTTTAGTTAAACAATGTTTTTTCTTTCTTTCTCATACATTATTGTTGTCATAAAATTAAGGCTGTCAAAGTTGATAACATGTTAACACAAAATGCTTTTAAAGGCACTAATTTTTTTTAAGCGAAATTAATGCAGTGACCTTTAAAACTCAGGCCACTCCAAGCTCTGGAAATCAGGAGGCAATCCACCGAGGTTAATGCAACCAACGACCGACAACCCGGTGAGCACCTTTGGAAAAGGGAAGCATTTTGAATTAGGGCTCAATATTTTGGCCAAAGTCCTGAATCGATTTGATTTCAACTCATGCAGTCTGAATCAATTAATTTCGATTAAGTTGGATTAAATTCGATCTGCTCTTACAATAATGAAAGTGGCTCAACTGTGTTGCAAAATACACATGTATTTTAAATTGTTTCCTTCATAAATACTTTCCTACACCAAAACTCGGCAACTCCTGCCACCCCTGTGCCATGCCAGAGGCTCCTCTCACTGTCTGGACTTACTGTGAACAAGAAGACAAACTCCTTGGCTTCTCAAAATGTAAACAGATTTGTCTGTTTGAGCAACTGGCTCAGTCGAAGGAATAACTTGACATTTATTCGGTCTGTTTAAAAACAGAAGAAATTGAAGCTGGTGTTCTGCTGGAGGATAAAAAAACAGGACCCAGACTTTTATTTAATTTATTCTCATAAAAAAAGAGAAATGATGGAGGCTGATTTTTAGTTCATTTGATGTGTTTAAAGAGAAATGATGAAGGTTGGGTTGTTCAGCCTGTGCTGAATATCACAGCGCAGTCCACTGTTTAATGCACAATTTATTTATTTATATTTTAAATTATTTTGCCATTACCTTTTTTGTTTTATATTTGATACAAATTGCTATGTGGTGCATTGAGGGGCATACAAGGGGACGAATAGATCAATTGTTACTTAGACTTCGACTTTATTTTATATAAAGAATGTATACAAAACAAAATTTCGATATATACAGCTCGTTGACAGTAAATGAGCAGCTTAGCAGTAAAACTAACATTTCCATTTAAGTGCAGCAGTGATAAATGAAAATGATAATTTCACTGCTAAGATGCTCATTCACAGTTGAAAAGCTGTATGAGTCGAACTGTTCAAAAAAGGTCAACACACTACTGTTTTAGGATACATTAGAATAATGTTACAGTTAGTAAAATTGCACGCTCATCTGTATTTATTTTTTGTTGGGCTCTCAGCATCTTCTTTTACAATGCAGGTTGCACTTTTATGTTACTAAACTGAGAGTATTTCACATGGTTGCATTAAAAACAATGCTTTTTTGCAGGCATTTGTCTATTCTATTAAGGGTTCATTTAAAGCAATTAAAAATAATTCATTAGAGATTAAATATTGACAGCCCTACATAAGATACATTTCTGGTTTTTTTTATTAATACAGTTGGACCACAGTAACAAACTTTGTTTTCAAGAATATTTCAGTCAAAAAAATATAAAATGTAAAAACTCTGCTGATTACAAAGAGTTTGTTGCATTCCTTACTAAATGTCTTTGGTCCTCTTAAGCTTTTGTGAGGAAGAGATCCATATGCTCATCCTACATAATGAGTAACTGAAACTTGTAGTTTAACTCTTTCTGGTCACTCTGTCTCCCATTCCAACTGTAACTGGAACATTCTGGCTGTGTGTGGTCTTCAGTTTCTTGTGAGGTTGAACTTTTATCTTGAGGGTAGTCAGAAATCAGTTGAAGCCTCATAATATTGTCCAATAATTAACAGTACAACCTATCTTACATTTTAGAATTTGTCCCTAATGACTTACATCGTACTACAAGGTGCATTTGACACCAAAGTTGAGTTAAACTGTCATGTTTTTATATGTTTTGCCTGGCACTGTGCATTTGTTAATCTACAATGAGAATTTTTGGCTTTACGACAGCTTTTATCCTATTGGTAATATTTATATATATATATATATATAATCGGTGGTGAAAAACTACTTTTCATTACACTTTCCACATATATTTACTTAGAGTACATCCCACTCTGTCTTGGTATTTTACATAAAAGCTCTACATTCTTAAACTAATACTGTTAGAAACCTGGGCAGAGCAACAAGATGCACTCTGTGACTTGGTTTTAAAGTATGTAATGCTTTGTTTGCAATTGGAAGAATTTCAAAAAGTGAGAAACAGGATGTGTTGCTGTAAATTGTGCATTGTGTAAACTTTTTAGTGCTTCAAAGACTGGAATATATTTTGTCAAATAAAGATCTAAACAATAAATCACAGTTTTTATTAGTATTCGTAAAAATAAAAATAAAAACTATTCCCTAAAATGGTTACTGAAGACTTGTCATGTTTTA